CGTTTGGGATAATAAGTCTGTGACTTGCCTAGAACCCAATGCAACAACCGGTCCTTAACCTACACAGATAGGGAAACAGTGTAACCAAGCTATGCCCCGTTGGTCGTTGGCCGCGGGACACAACTTCTTACACCTACCAATACCCAAACCATATCCCTGTCTGGTCTCCATTTTCCTTTCGCCATTTTTATCATGAGTGATAATAATAATCACCTATTGTGAGCAACGACAGGTTACTCATGCTACCGTAATCCTGAGCATAGCAACTACTCGACCTATGCTAGTAGGACTCATAGGTAGGTATATCTATGCATGTAGTTTCTATAAAATGCCTATAACGTAAATGTGCATCATATATATATATATATATATATATATATATATATATATATATATATTCAGTGATCATTCAAAATAAGGATTATGCACCGGGGCTTACCTTGGAAAGGCGGGGGTGTCAACAAAGTCGGCAACTGATGGCTTCGGGGCTCCCTCCTGTACGAGAATCTCCTCCTTGTACTCCTCGATGATCTCCTCATACTCCTGCTCGCCCGTAGGTATGAACTCTACAAACTCGTTATCTAGATGCATGAAATGATAATGCAACACTTAATAATACAGCAACAAAAACTCTTAAATAAGAATACATCTATCAAACTACTAAGCTAGCTCTACCAACTAAGATGCTAAGTTGCCTATCATTTCCACTAAACAGGTATGAAATATTTCATGTATTCACTTAGCATCTAAAGGCATTCTCACTCTTAATACCGATTTACTATATATATAATAAAACAAGGAGTTCTAGCTACCATATTTATCAACCTATTCTAAGGCTACAAAAATTACAGTGAGCACATAATAATCTAATGAACCTACTATAAAAATTTCATGGCTAGAGCTATTACCAACTTGCCAAAAAAAATCCTACAATTATTAATATAAATAACATTAACACTTCCAAACGATATAATGGACCTTAGCATCAACACAGATATATATAAACTAATCCTACTATCAGGTAGACCACATTTTTTAGAAACTCAACAGAATTTATTTCATAATTTTTGGATACTTATATGAATTGATATTTATTTCCAAAGTTCAACTTAGAATGTAAATTATAAAGCTATTTCTATCTTCTATAAAATGAAAAACAAAATCAGCCCGCGTGGTCCACGAGAAAGCGACGCGGCCCACTCCCGAGCAGCGCGCGCGCATGCGCGACCCACCGGAGTGGCCCACGCGGGGCGCGGCCCAACCGCGCGGCAACAGCCCGTGCACTCCGGTATTTTTGCGAAAACAACCCTGAGCTATCAGTGATTTCCCCCAGAGTTCGTAGTACTATTCCTACAGTCAGCGTTAAAGCAAACTAGCCCTCGGAACAATCCGTCTTTACCACGGCCAGGTCCTTGGGCACTCGCGCGTGCACCGGCGCGGCGGCGACGGCACTGGGCGGTCACACCGGCCAACCGAGCCCCTCCCCACCCCCTCTAAGGGGCCGATGCTTACCTAGATGCAAACGCAAAGCGGTGGGCGATGAAGAGATGAACGGGGACGTGGTCAGGAGCTCCCTCCATGGCGGTGGACAACCTGTGACGGCGGCAACCCTGTTCAGTCGAGCTTCGCCACCGGAGAAGAAATACAGACAGCGGATAAGCATTAGGGTCTCACCGCGATCCTACCCAAAGTGGTGGTGCATCCGGAGACTGCCCCAGTCCAGCCGGCCACGTGCGTGCGGCAAGGCGACGGTGAGCCGCGTAGGCACGGCCACGTCAGCATCGCGAGGGAAGCAGTGAGGGCACGGCTAAGGTGCGCACGTAGAGGAGGACTACGATGCGGGGCTGGGGGTGCAGCCAATTTGGCTCGGGATGACGGGGTGGGTAATGCCCACGGCAACGGCGGGCTTAGCCTTTAATGGAGCGACGGCGAAGACTCGGCTCCAAATTGGGTCTTGCCAAGGTGCGATTGGACACGGTATGGGGTTGGTCGGCTAGCAGGCTCGAAGACAGAGTCGAGAGCGCACCAAATTGAAGAGACATGACCCATCCATGTCGGATTGATGGCGCGGCCTGGCTGGCCCAAGCAGCAGAGGAGGGAGGGAAAAGGGGATGGGTCCGGCTGCTTGTCCAAGCTTTGGTGGGACGCGGCGGCCGCACATGCGCAAGCACTATGAGCCAACGCAGCCAGTAGTGGGCCGTAACTGCGTGCGGGCGGTGGCAGCGCGGCCATGGCACCGTTAATGGTGAAACGACACTCGCGTGACCTCGACAAGCCCACGTGCACGAATTCGTGACGACAACGACGTAGAGGCTCAGGCGGACGCGACGGTAGCGTGCTGTGGCACGGCGGTGACAGCGCGGCGCAACATGATGACGGGACGGCGGCAGTGACACGGCGAGGTAGGCGGTAGCGGACCGGCCAAGGCATTAGGCCCGCGATGACAGCGGCAGGTAAAGCAACCAGGCCAACCGGCCCCAGCGACCCGTCAAACGCGGCGGTGCGTGGTGCGGGCGTGTGTGTGCTCTGCTCGTGTAACACGTGCCTTGGCGCGGCAGCGGCGACGCGGAGCCTGCGCGTTGGGGTGCGTGTGCGCGCGCTGGACGAGTCGGCGCTGCGACGCCGAGTGCCGAGGCACGGTGACCGCGCCCAGTCGCTGAAACCAGCCAAGAGCATGCTGCGCACGATTTTTAAAGCGTTCAAAAAATCTAACACGTTGAACTAATTGCCCAACCACCTATGCAATTCTTAAGAGGGCATATTAGACTACTAAAACAAGCCCTAAAACCACATCACTCCTTAACCCAATTACTCTACAAAAATTGTCAAACACAGCTTTGTCAAACTATTTGTTTGACTTACGAAATCGACCAAGTCTTAATCGGATTCGTGTCAAATTCAATTTCCAACCTATTAGACCAGTTAGCTAGCGAATTCATTATTCGACCGCAGGTATTTCATCGTCATACACAAGGTTTTTACTTCTAGCTTTATTAAAGTTTCATATATACGTTCTATAGTGTTTTCGTTCAATAAAAATTCACGAATATCCGTACTTGATAATTTCATACGTCACGAACAGCCTTTCGTTATGCATTTCTGTTGGTCGTTTTAAGTTACGTAAATTGATTTACACCCTATATTACATATATTAACACATAAATATGATGCTCATGTAGTGTTTTAGTAAACGATTTACAGTGTAACACCGAGGGTGTTATAGGACGCTGGCCTCGGGAGGACCTACGCGTCCGATCAAGTGGCAGCTAAGAGCGCGCGGTCTCGGTCTTGTAACCGGACGCTGGCGCGAAGAGTGACCTGACACGCAAGGGCCGCGTCCGGTCATCTCTGATGTTCACTGACGCAGTGGCGTGGGCTTAGCGTTGACACGTGGCAGGCGGTGAAGGACCGGACTTAGGTGCTACGTTCAAATCTTAAAATTACTCGCTCAGAAATATTTTCAAAATCTATTTTGAAAACTAAAGTCATGTGAGCTCCATTTAAATTTCCTACCTACTTATTCCATCTCAAGTATATTCCTTTGCTCCCCGTCCAAATATATATCCCTACATCGCACCAATAATATCTTCAGCCATGCCCCAACGCTCTCGCGTGCGCTCCGCTCGCCCTCGCCTGACAGCGCCCGCGTGCGCCGGCCCCGCCACTACCGCTGCGGCGCACCCGTGCTGGACCCCCTTGCCGAACGCGCGCTACCACTCCATGTGGGCCCCACCCTTCTGTCGCGTCGTGCGCGTCATGGGCCCCACCTCCCATTTTCCTCTCCCTCCTGTCCTTCTACGGAGCACACAGCTAAGGATGGCAACGGGGATGTACCCATCGGGTATCGTCGGAACGTTCTCTTCCCCGCTACGGAGAATTCATCCCGTCCCCGTCACCGTTAATTGTCTCGGGTATAGATTCTTGCCTATCCCCGTACTCGTCGGGCATCGGTCGGGTAACAGATACCCGACGGGTACTGCATACCCGATAAACAAGGACACTTGGGGTCGCAGCTTTGCAATCGGAGACGTTTTTTCTTCACCCGGGTATAAGTGTCGGAGTCTCGGAGATGCCGAGAAAAAGGAGCGAGGTTGCGAGGAGGACGAACAAAGGTGGTAGAGCGCTCGTGAGGCAGGCGTGCATGTGCTGCTGACGGAGATGGTGAGGAAAAATCGAACTAGAGTTCCTAGAACACACAAACTATATATATGATTGTTTAGATTTGGGCCAAAATACTTATGTTGAGTTTTTTGGGTCTAATATTTGCATGACAGCTCAAATAGTCGGGTTCTTCAACGGATAATGGGGACGGGTAAACAGGAAACGTTCTCGTACCCGCTATACCCGTCGGGGATGGATTCTTACTCATTTAGATGTCCACATATAAAGATATGATCCCATCCATATTCTTCTAATGGATCAAATACCCGTCGGATATCGGATATCGAGGCCGTTGTCATCTTTACACACAGCGCAGCACACACTATCACACACTCGTACACGAAAACGCAGCCCACAGCAGAGCAATCTTACCACGCACGTCACCTGCTCAACCCACGTCGCTGCGGCCGTCCTCGACCGGCCTTGTCCGCCTCGTCGCGCGCGCCATCAACGCGGCCGTCGCCTCAGCGCCACCGCCCCGCTACACGCCGCACCACCCATCGTCCTTGGCTCTGCAGGTAGCAGCACCATTCATGGCGAGCAGGTGAGCCGGTGGCACAGCTCGCTTCTTCGGCCTTTAAAAAGCGACACCGGTGCCCTTCCACTACCACATCAAGCTGCCGAGCTTGCCTAGCTCCTCCTTGCGCTGCTCCAATTTCTCTCTCTTTCTGCTCTGTTCTTCAGTAAAGTTGGTCGCCCCGTCGATCTCCGCGTCCGAACTACAATAGACCGAGGTGGGCAGCCACCATGCATCCCCTACCTCTCCTCCCCCTCCCCGTGTTCTCGGATTCGAGAACGGTGGCCAATATCGCCAGCTAGCCGAGCCACCGCAGCTAGCAATGGCGGACGAGCACGAACGCCTGAACGTGGTCGCTGCTCTGTCTCTCTGTCCTATCTCCAGTACCCCCTCTCCCTCTGTTCTCTCTTTACAGTCCAAAATGCTAGCGCCACGCACAAGCAAGCAGCAGCCCAATGGGCATGTCGTTAAGTCCAAATACCACTCCCAGCCACGTGCACTGTTCCTTTTTGGACCCAACGAACAGCCACCTTCTAAAATCCATATCTCCTCCGTCTGACCTCCGATTCCAAAGATTCTTCTTCCTATATTTATCTAAAATCGATATCTATCTCCCATACAAATGTCATCATTTTTTGAGCTCATTTGAATTTATATGATTATTTAATTTTGTTTGTTTGCCTATACCGTTGTTTGTGCGCTTCTAGCTGTCGGAGTGAACGAGGAGGAGAACAAGGATGGCGGAGGCGAGTACCACGAGTTCAACGTGGAGAACCCGAACTACCAGCAGGAGTTTCTCGAGGACACAGATGGATGCAAGTCCAATCTAATTCTCTTTGATGCATGTTGATCATCTTTTTAAACACAACCCGTAGAAGTCGTTTTAAATATTGCATGTACGATTATACGTATGAGATATTTTCGTTGCTTAGCTAAAACCTATTTGAATAGGCATCCTTGGATTGATATTACCTGATAAATGTCTTGTTCAAACCTAGGAATAAATATTATGCTGGCATAAAATATTATTGTTTAGCAATGCTTAAGACTCAGTACCCATCATGGATACTCATCGTTATGATTTTTCAAATGCAATGATTTTAAACGAAAACTGTGTGAGTGACGAGGATAAGTTGTGGGTTTTGTGAAATGGTTAATAAACAAGTTATAGATGGTGATTACTCTAGAGATGGGGCGGATCAGATCCCTTTTGTGGGATGATGTGGTGTTGTGGCTTGTACCTTTTATGGTTAAGCATGAAGATATCCGCCTTGTCTTGATTAAGGACTGAGTTGATGATCATCTCACATAACTCATTTTATCGTACAACCACTTGACCTTGTATGTGGCAAGGCTTAGTCTAAATCCCTCTAATTGGTATGGCAATCACTTGTAGACAGGTGTGCAACAGGACACTAAGAGATGTATGTGGAAATTGAGGAATTGTATGAAATGTAATGAGCTATGTAAATTGTTGTATTATGATATTGTTACCTTAGTGTGTCCGTGGTGAGCGCCAGTATTCAGCTATGGAGGGTAATGGCTCTGATGGATCTGTGCTTGCACGACGGTGTCAAGTTACGGTATCCTACTTGTGGTGAAAGTGTACAACCTCTGCAGAGTATAAAATTTATCCGAATAGCCGTGTCCGCGGTCTTGAACGGGTTATGGTTTGATTTCAACAGCTAGATGGGTTGGGATGAGTAGAAACATGAGTGTGTGTGATTTTGGAAATTAATGGTTACCGGCCATGTGTTGTGGAAACAGAATGTTCAGCAGCACTTAAAATTGTGACAACCCCTTTTTAGAATTACTCTTATATATATGGAAAATAGATGACTTTTGCAAATGTATTTATGAAATAAAACCCTGCATGTGTCTAAAGATAGCTTTATGCAAATAAAACCAAGTCTTATTCTTGATATATCCATATGCATGTACTGTTATCTCCTTCCGTAGGGTAAGGTTGGACTTGCTGAGTACTTTGTACCCACCCTTACTTTGTTGAACAGAGGAAGATCCGGACTTCAATTCTGAAGCTGTGTTCGAGTAAGGCCGTGTCTGCACCCAACTAAGCCTGTGGCATTGGGACCCGTCAGATGTTTGATTGTGATTCCTTTTGTTTCTGGGTCTGTTGGACCTATATTATGTTCTGGTTACTTCTAATCGTGGCATGTCTTTATTGTCCACGATTGTCAAGACTAATGCACTAAGACTTATCTGATGTAATAAATATGTTACTAGCCTCCTGGGACTAGTATTTGTATCACATTTGAGTTCCTAGATGAACAGGGGTGCTTCACCCGACGTGCGGGCTTGGCGGGTAATGCCAATTAGCCACCGAACCACCAAGTAAGCGGTTGATACAATGGGGATGTAGCTTGGTGGCAACCTAGTGAACCTCGGAAGAAAATTACCATGTCAACATTGTCTTCATCAACTACTCGGTGGTTTGCTTTTCGTGAAACACAAGCTTGTATTACTTTCATTTATATTGTGCTTATGTAGTTGCTCTTATGACTAGTTTAGCTTTAGTATCTTGCTAGTTGTCTTTTTACTTGTGTAGCATAGAAGTAGCTCCCTTGCGTGGCTAATTTAGTTTTAATAACCTTGTTAATCACATTGCTTAGTTTGTGTAGCTAAGTAATTTACGCTCTCTAATTTGGCTGGTGTAACCTTGTTATTGAGCACTGCTAGTGAGCTTAGATGGCTTTGTATTTTTGCATCACTAGTTGTGTAGGAGCTCCCTCGGTTGCTTGAGTACTAGTGCATAGGTTTGTGTGACCTTGCTCTAGAATTATTTAGGTGAGCTCTAGCTAGCCCAACACTTTTGTTGCATAATTAGGATATTTATAAGGTGCTTATGAACTTAGATAGAGGGGTGTAGTCTTGGCTAGACCGATAGTTTTAATTCTGCATTTGTTTCGGTTAGCCGACGTATTTAAATTTTAGAAAGGACTATTCTGTGGCATGACCACCCAAAATAGGACGCTTCAGAAGGCGCTCGTCTTCCACCAGACACTAAGCACTCCGAAAGCTGGCTACATCGGACAGTTCCGTCGAGCACACCCAAAGGAAGAACTCGAACAATCCATATTTTTCTTTCAGGATCCAATAATAAGAATGCGTTTATAATACTTAGTCCATTTTATACAACAAGAGTTCTTCGAAATACATTATTACAATACCAAGTTCAGAGTTCGGAATTTCAACAGCGGAATTACAATAAACATCTACACAACAACCATTCCTCAAGCTGCACCTATAACAGGGGTAAATAAACCTTGAGTACACAACATACTCGTAAGACTTACCCGACTAGTAGGAATAATTTCCTGACTCCAAAGGATATGATAAGCTTTATGGTTTGTTGGGTTCCCTTTTTGCAAAAAGCATTATTGGTAGTGAATCCTTATGTATGTATTTTATTAGCAGTCATGATTAATTCATTAGCTAACCATTCTGGGTAAGCACCTGCTTTCTTTCAAGCAAGAGTTGAGCAATCAGATCCATTCATTCCCTTTCATCTTCCAGTTCTTAGTACGGTGCTAGATCATAGATAAGTTGTACCATATTACACGACTCCAAGCCCCCACACCTAAGTCCCAGACTCAGTGTGGTGTTTAGACCTCCACCATCCCCGCCTCCAATCAGTTGGTCTAAAAAGAGTCAAACCCCATGATAAGAGAGCAACGAGCCTTCCCGCTCTCATAAACAAGTATGTGCTCAGGATAATAAGTCTGTGACCTGACTAGAATTCAATGCAACGGTCGGTCCTTAACCGACACGGACAGGGAAAATAGTATAACCAAGCTCTGTCTGGTCACCATTTTTCCTTTCACCATTTTATTATGAGAGTGATAATAATAATAATAATCACCTATTACGAGTAACGGCAGGTTACTCACACTACCGATAGCCTAAGCATAGCAGCTACTCGACCTATACTAGTCGGACTCATAAGTAGGTTTATATATACATGTAGTTTCAATATAAATCCTGTAACGTAAATGCGCATCACATATATATATCCAGTGATCATTCAAAATAAGAGTTATGCACCGGGGCTTGCCTTGGGCAGGCGGGGTGTCAGCAAAGTCAGTCACTGGTGGCTTCGAGGCTCCCTCCTGTACGAGAACCTCCTCCTCATACTCCTCGATCACCTCCTCGTATGCCTGCTCTTCGACGGTCATGATCTCCACCAACACGTTCTCTACATGCATGCAATGATGATGTAACACTTAGCATTTTTGCAACAATAACTCTTAAATTAAGAATATATTCACTAAGCTGCTAAACTAACACTAATGACTAAGGTGCTAAGCTACCCATCTTTTCCATTAAACAAGCATGAAACATTCAAGTATTATCTTAGCGACAAAAATGCATTTCTTACTTTGTTTACGATTTCATATATACTAAAATAAGAAGTACTTTGCTACCATATTTCTCAGCCTATTCTAAGGCTACAAAATTACAGCGAGCACATAATAATACAATGAAGCTACTATAAAAATTTTAGGGTTTTTGCTATCACCAATCTACCACAAAAATTCGTACAATAATTAACTTAATAATATTGAGCATTCTCAAATGATTTAATAGCTCCTAGTATCAACATGTATATATATGAACTATATACACTAACAGATAGAGCACAATTTTAGGAACTTAACAAAATTAGTTTCATAAATTTTGAATACCTACATGATTTTATATCATTTACCAAAGATCAGCTCAGAAATGTAATTAGAAAACCATTTAACTAATTCTCTTAAAAAGAAAAGGTGACAAGCCCAGCGTGGCCCACCGTGCTGATGCGGCCCACACGAGCCGACCCATGATGGGGGCAGCCCGCGCGTGTTTTCACTCTTGCAAAAACGCCCTCGCGTTACCAGGCATTAGCGCGAGCACTACGCGTACTATTCCTATAGATAATGACTTTACAAGGAAGCCCTCGTATTTTCTCGTCTTCGCATCGGAGAAGTCCCCGACACCTCCGCGCTCGTCGGCGCGACATAGGCCGGCACTGTGTCGCTACGTCGGCCAACTGGGACCCACGCAGGCCTAGCTAGGGGCCGACCCTTACCTATGGGCTGACGCGCAACTTCGGGCAGTGGTGGGACAAGTCGAGATGCAGTAGGATGGCCTCTCCACGACAGCGGGCAGTCGGGCACCCTGCGGCGGCGGCAACCACGTTCTGGTAAACCTTGGTATAAAAGAGGTGATAGAAACAATGGGTGAGCATCAGCGACTCACCACACACCTACCTGTGGTGGTGGCTTGGCCGGAGACGCCCCGAGCAAGCCTGGCCGTGTGCGCGCGGCAAGCGTGACGGCAGGCCATGGTGGCACGGACGCGTCAGCGCTGCGAGGGTAGCCATAGGGGTACGGCTTAGGTGCACACAGCGAGAAGGGGTGCAAGGTAGGTCGGGTTGTGCAGCCAAATTGGCTTGAGGCGGTGAGCTGGTGGCTGCCTACGGTGGTGGCAGGCTAGGTCTTAATGGCGCTGTGGCAGAGGCAAAACTCCAAAATTGCAGCTCGGCTAGGCACCATTCAAGGCGGGATGGGGACGGTTGACTACAGGACTTGTTGGCGGCACCAGAGACATGACGCCACGACCCGAGATGACTCCTCCTAGCCATATTAACTCACGAGGCTTAGTCGACCATGGCGGGGAGATCAGAGAGAGAACCGAAGCTCGACATGACCGGCCTTGGCAGGATGCATCCGTCGTGATCCGAACGAGCCACGCGTCGCTACTACGAACAACACACGCACGCCACCGACTGGCACTGCCTGCGGGGTTGCTGCACCATAAATGGCAAAGCGACGGTGCGGGCAGTAGAGG